TATTATTACTATTATTATTACTATTATCATTGTTATTGTTATTGTTACTATTGTTACTATTATTATCATTATTGTTGTTGTTATGATTATCCTACACTGTCATTTTGGTGAATTTCATATTTATTTTCGTGTTGTTACGGTGATGGGACTGCACATTATGTTGGTATTATGTTGGGTTTTTTATTTTTGCTTTTGTTCTTATTCTGTTTCTCTTACCACCAATCTGTTTTACAAAACCCACTTTATCAAAATCTATTATAAAACTCTTTTCATCCCTTTCAAATAAAGCACGCGTGTCTTGTTCACTTTTACCAGATTTGTTCATTTCTTTTTTTAAAAGATAATTCGTGACTTCCACACAATCATTATTTTCCCTAAACAACTGGTCTTCCTATTATTTTTACACGCTCCATGTCCACTTTCTCCTCAGGTCAAGATCTGGTTCCAGAACCGTCGAGTGAAGCACAAGAAAGAGGGTCAAGATGGCGACAGACACAGCTCCGTTGGCTGCAGGTGTCTTCGCTCGTGCTCCAGTAACTCAGGGAGGAAGAGGGAGGACATCTCTTCAACCTCCTCGTCCTCCTGCACGCAGATGAGCGGTGGTGGTGAGGGAGAGGATGAGGAAGAGTATGAGGAGGGCGACAGAGGGAGTGGATCGGAGAGCGATGACGTAGACTGTGGCGACAGCAAAGAAGAGCTCGTGTCTGGGTGTGACCTGAACTTCCTAAACAACTCAACAATGAAGGAGAGGCTTACTTCTTACCCAAATATAAGTGAGGCCTCCAGTGTCGTTAGAGACGCGGACTCACTTTACATACGTGTAGATCAGGAGAAGCACATCCTGAAGACAGACGAAGCCTTCAACTCTAAGATACCGCCATCAGCTCTCCAGGGCTTAACAGAGATGAGTAACGGTCATCCTTTCGTTCCTCAAATGAAAGAACCACTCGCGTCTTCGCAGACGAATTTTTTCAGAGGTGAGCCCAGCACAGGAAATGATGCCATCACAAATAGTACACAGAGTTCTGCCGTGACCTTGACTTACGGGCGGTCTCCGTACGGTCATAGCGGTGAGAATCTGTGTGAGTCTACAGTGAGTTGAGGAGACAGAGCGGGGAGAGAATAGAGACAGAAAACAATTTGCCGATGAGTCAAGGCAGAAAAGATATCAATAAAAAATGAGACAAGTACTCGTTCATTATTTCGTTAGGTTTTATACATTTGTAAATAGCCAAGCTCAGTTATTACCAATCACATCTATCTGGTGTCTGTGGTGCAGCGGTTAGGTGCTTGGCCGTCGCATACAGAAGACTTGAGTTCGATTCCTGTGTGTGGAAAATTTCCATCGAGTATATATATGTCTTTCTACTGGGACTTTGTATCCCAAGATTGTATATGCAGAGGAGAATATTTTTAAAGAGAAATAGGAGAAATAACGATCAAGATGGATTGAGGCATTTTAGTTTTAGTAAGAATTTTACGGCACTCGCAACACAAGAAGGTCATATAAGTGCCGAAGATTAGAAGTGTTACAAGACGGTAATAAGCACAAAAAGAAGGAGTGGAGATAGAGACAACAGATGTTTGATAGGAAAGAAGAAACAAACCACACTAGAGCACCCGCCAACCACCCACATTGAGGCTTTTGTTATGACCAATGAGACCAATTGGACAGAGAAGAGTTTGTCACATTTTTAGCGTTTAGTCTGTGTTAATTCTGTGTACGATACTCATTTGATTGGAAATACTTTTCTTGGGAAAAAAAAGGAAATTGCATCCGTATTTTCTTTTCCAACAGCTACTTCTCTGGTGCACGTTGCTGGTAACGTTCTCTTCACTATTTTGTTATTTGCGTTTATCAGCTATTGGAGTATATCCACTTTCTGTGAACTTAACACATTCCTTCGCCTCTGAATCATTTTAGACCCTTTTTTTCTCAAGTTTCATCTACTACATCATAAAGTGTTTCAACCAAAATCAATTATCCATAGGTCAGCAAGTCGTTTCACTTATTTGAGCATTGCACCACCCTTGTCTTCCAACATGCCTCACCGGAATCGGTTAATAATATGTAAAGATTTTTGTATCCAAAAGCCTTTTCTTGGGCCATTCCACAGAGTATACACCCAAACCAGGCTCACTTTCTGATATATTCTTCTTTATGAAAACACGTATCAAAAGCAGCAAATTTACATTTTATGTATATTGATTTTGTATCTGTTGTTGACATTGCAATTGTTGTGTGGCCTTGAAAACTTCATGCCTTCGATACTAGTCAGTATTCGTGAGAATCGACGCTTTTGCCTTTTCATTACATTTATATAAAATGATGTAAATTTGATAGTAAATAATTGTAAATATTATTGTGTTTTTACAGCATTTATCTCTGAATGAATTATATTTTGGAAGAGATTGTTTAAACGTTTGTAAAGACTCAAAGTTCATGGGAAAAAATAATAATGAGCGTATTTGTGTGTTTGTGTGTGTTGTTATGTCTTTGTGTGTATTTGTTTGTGCGTTTTGTGTCTTGCGCCTTGTGTTTGTGTTTGTGTTTGTTGTATGTCCCCCCCCCTTCCCGCTTTTTCTCTTTCTCTCTCTCTCTCTCTCTCTCTCTCTCTCTCTCTCTCTCTCTCTCTCTCTGTGTGTGTCTGTCTCTCTCTCTCTTCCCTTTTTTCTCTCTGTCTCTCTCTGTTTGTTTGTGTGTGAATGTGTGTGTGCGCGTGTGTATGAGTGTTTGTGTGTGTGTGTGTGTGTGTGTGTGTGTGTGTGTGTGTGTGCGCGCGCGTGTGCACGCACGCACGTACCTGTGCCAATGGTCTGTTTGCTTGAGATTTTTGTGTGACACTTCTGAATTTCGATTTTTTTTTTAAGGATGAAGGTTTTTAAAACGTACTTATTTCCTTTTTATATGGGCTGAGGCTGTATTACTGAACTCATGTTGACTGCTGTGTTCCTCTATTTTGCTTCCGATACTAAATATGACGGGGTCGGTCTAGTCATATTATTGCAAGTACACAGATCAAAATTATGTACATTGATTTCCGTGTACCGCTTTCTTCTTATTGCTTACTCCTAATCCATGTGCAATAGAGACGTATCCGGTGCCGGGAATGGTTTCTTGTTATTGTTCACAAGACTGAAAAGTGTGTTTTTGATTGTCCATTTAATTAAACACAGTGCATAATTTCATTCACGATAATGATAATTCATTTGAAAATATATATATATAGCCTTTCATACTTTTGGTTTTTTTACAACGACAATTTTTGTCTTTGCTTCAAAGTTGCTGAATGATTGTAAAACTATAATAAACTTGAACAATTTGTAAAACATTTTCCCGAGCTCCTGCATTTGTGTTCTCGTGTGTGAGTACTGGTTGATTCTCAATCACACTTACTTGAATTCTTCTTGTCAAACACAACGTTAGAAACTCTCTTTAAAAATGATGCCTTTACGTCCCCGCCGATCAAAAAAAGAAGATCAATAACTGACGCAATCACAGAAACCTGAAGAAAAACACCACCTTCCAAGTAACAGAGAAATGCTAAAACAATTAAGACCAGGACTCCCCCTCAACACAAAGATCAACAACACGAACATCAAAGCTTCCCTCACAAAAGAGACAATGAGAAAGGAATACAAACAAGAAGAACTGAAGACCACACATCTCTAAACAATTGACCCCTACCCTAGTAATTCCATCCGTATTTACACTGAGGAGTCTGCTGTCAAGAGAACTATCAATCCAGGCTTTGGAGTAAGAATAGAACATCTTGAAAAGACGTGTGAAGAACTATTTGATGCCTTTGATACTTCTTGTACAAATTATGCACGGGCAAAGCCATTGCCATTGAAGCAGCTATCCTCCATCTGACCAACATTTTCATTATACAGGGTGACTCAAAACCACCCTTGTCAAGAAAGGAGCATCACAAACAACACATCAAAACCCAGTACATGTATCACAACAAGCAGTCAAGAGCATCCTCAAAATGCAACACCACGGAACAGCGGATGGGCAATGGGCCAAACTGGAAGAACTGCATTTTCACACATGACTGCCCCCAACTCAAACAATGCACTAAATTCCCCGAGAAGAAGAGAACGAGTTGCTATTTTTCGCCTCCCAACAAAACACATCCCATTCAATTCTCATCTAAACAGGATTCGTAAAGAAAATGGCCACCTGCCTGCCCTCTGTGTGACTGCCAGGTTGAAACAGTATCACATCATCTCTTTACCTGCCCTGCACTTAACGACCTGCGTGGTACCTACCGACCTGTCTCCACAGATGTAGGAAATACTCTATACAGCTACAAAACGCAGCGGATAGAAATCTGTAAATTCTTTGCCATTGCGACAGGCCGCTGGATCGAATCAGTACAAAAAAGTAAAAAGTACTCCTCCACCGACACAATTTAGACCATTTATTAGGCGTTGTTCGGCCCTGAATGTCAGGGTTGAGAGTGATAAATCTCAGCAGAAACACTGAGATACTCGATAAAAATTCTCCCTACCTGGGAATTGAACTATATAGGGTCTCCTGCGTGCTACGGCAAAGTGCCTATCCGCAACACCACAGACGCCAACAGTATAGGATATCTCTAGGGTGAAGATAAACTAAGTCTGGCTGAAGGAGTCATTGAAAAATCGGAATGGTTCAACCCAGCACTGGCGGTATCACTTCCAAAACAATCAGGTTACTTGAAAGGTGATCTGCCTATTCAAGCGCCCATCTCCAACAGGCCAACATTGAATGTTGAGTAAGACGGATACACCCAATGAATTAATAACTCTCGTGAATCGAAGTGTATGCAGCAGCAAAGAGCATAAGCATGACACTGCAGACGACATTTTTCTATGGAACGAACGTAATAAAATCTGATTTGGTACTGAATTCTTTCACCATGTAGCAGACACATAATAATAATGTCCGACAGCAGACTAAAGGCAATTTTGTGGCCTATTTCAAACGATCATAAGCTTGTACAAATCAAGTACACGAATCTGTATATTTCATGCTGAGTGTCGTCGTTGGTTGTTTTTCAGCCTTGTAAGGTTTCGGCTTAAGGGGGACAGGAAAAAAACAAACAAACAAACAAGACGTAAATTAAAAATTTGGAATGAATAACGCAGTTATGCTTCATTTTTTAAGTGCGCTAAAACAGCGCCATTTCAAACGTCCTCAAGGAGATAAAGGTTTATCGCCTTTTGCCCCTGAACCTCAAGTAATAATTATGTAATCAAATACATATCAATTACGTTGAATAAAAGGGCTTTCAACCATTATCGGCAAAAGTACTAGTTTGAGAATTTCAAAATTGTAAGTGCTTTGTCGTATGTATACTACACAATTAAGGGGGGGGCTACACCCGGAGGCTATCTCGCTTATTGCTACACCGAATGCTACCAAATTTCACACATATAACAAGCATAGTAAGGAGTCTTAAAATCCACAATCAAATTTGAGAAAAAAGTTTCGTTTCCATGGATACGCCGCCATATTGGATTTTATTGACATGTCTTACGTAATGAATACCGCACTTATCGCTCATGGAAATTGATTGTTTTTTTGCATGCGTGTTTACAAACATTAGATCTAAAAATTTGTCTGTTGTTTTTTTCGTAATCGAATTAGAAAATTTTTAATGAATTTTTTCCTGAGGTAGCATTCAAGTTTGCGAAAAATCCGTGAAAATCCACACTCCAGACACCACCAACAAAAATCTATATCATATATCACAAATTCAACATACAGATATTTAGTATTACCTCTTGTCTTAATTTTGTGAAAATTTCATGAAGATTGGATGAAAAATGGTGGAGTTATTTTAAAAAGTATAGAGAGAAGTCGCATTTTGAGAAAACGGCCGATAAAGAAAAATAAAATACTGACTTTATGAGGAAATGGCGGTTACAAACATGCCCGGTATGGGAAAAAATACTGTTTTGGGGGGGTTCTTATGCCATGAAATAGTTGTAGGATAGGCTGAGGAAGATAAAAATGCCTACAACTCAAATTCCATGATTTTGAGCCGAATTTCCCTTAAAGAGAAAACATATGTTCGTTGTTTCATGAGTATGCTGTAGCCAAGATGGTTATGAAAAGAACATGGGAATTGGGACGGAACGGAAATGGAAACGATACACCAGAGTAGATATGCATATACCCAAATGCAAAGATTTATTTGTAACTATTACAGTAGTAAAGAAAAAAGGGGGTGGATGGGGTTGAATATTGAGTTTTAAAGTTACAGACAAATGAAAATATAAAGTTAGGAAAAGTAGTTTAATATTTTCTATCAAACAACATTTTGTTGTTTACATTACTGTCGAAAGCACACATTCATGTACATGCACAATACGTCTTTTCGCTACACAAGATATACTGTGAGGTGTTCTCATGATAATTGAGAAGCTGTCTTTGTTTTGGTTTAAAATTAGGATAAACCATACGCTCACGCTGGAGGGGTACTTCAAAAAGTCTGTTGGTCCGAGAGTTATTTTTTCCAT